GATATCCACATGCAAAAACATGAGTTTAGATACTTATCTCACAAGATAAAGAATTAACACAAAATATATTATCGACTTAAATATACAATCGAAAGCCTCTAGGTAAAACATCTAGAGGAAACGTTGGATAAATGTTTTGTGCTTTTTGTGCTAGGCAAAGATTTTGTAGGTACACCATCAAAAGCATGATTCATGAAAAAGAAAAGATAAAATTCATCAAAATTGAGAACTTCTCATCTTTCAAAAACATTAGAAGAGAATAAAAGGCAAGCCACAGACTCAGAGAACTAACCTCAGGAGGGTGACTTGTTTTCAGGATATATTAAGGCTCAATAAGAAAAGTGACAAAAGGAGTTGAAAGACATTTAATCCAAGAAAATACATAGATATCAAGTAAGTAAATGTTAAAATGCTCCACATCATTATTTATTAAGGAATTGCATATTGAAACCACAAAATACTGCTTCACACCCACAAGCATAGCTATAATTAGGCAATTCTAAGATTTTATTTATTTATTTGACAGAGCACAAGTAGGAGGAGTGGCAGGCGGAGGGAGAGGCAGAGGGAGAAGCAGACTCCCTACTGAGCAAGGAGCCTGATGCAGGGCTCCATGCAGGGCTCCATGCGGGGCTTGATCTCAGAATCCCGGGATCATGACCTGAGCCTAAGGCAAGCGCTTAACCATCTGAGCCACCCAGGTGCCCCTATAATTAGGCAATTCTAAGTGTTCCCAGGGACATGGCAAAGCTGGAACATTGCTGCTGGAGATGGAAAATGGTGCAGCCCATGTACCAAGCAGCTTTAAAGTTTCTTAAAATGTTAAACATAAACTCACCATATAACATGACCCAACATTTCCACTCCTAGGAATCTACCAATGAAAATGAAAAATTCCTGTCCACACAAAGATTTACATGTGAACGTTCATAGTAATGTTATTCATAACCAAAAAGTTAATACAATGCCCATAAAATAGTGAAGGGATAAGCCCAACGCCGGGCTCCATCTCAGGACCGTGGGATCACGACCTGAGCCAAAGGAAGACGCTTGAATGACTGAGCCACCCAGGCGCCCTGCTATTTTGTGCTTTCTATTTCTTGTTTCCTTTGATTTTTAGGTGTTCTCAATTTGATTATCTATCTTGCTACTAATTAAAAAATTTTTTTCTTCCTCTTTTTTATTGTTTTTAGGCTTACCTTTTCCTACTAATATCCTCTGCATTTTTTATAAAGCATATCTTATTTCTGGTGGCTTTTTTTCTTTCCTTATCTCCTTAATTATTTTTCTGTGCTTATCTTAATTTCATTATTCTTTTCCTCCCTTTGTTGTTTAATATGGACTTTTTTTGTTTTTTTTTTTTTTTTGGATTGTGTGCTTCCTCCCTCTCTTCTTACCCTGGGTGTATGAAATCCTGTCTCCTGTGTGCTTAGAGGAAGGGATACAGTTCAGCCATATGCTGTTAGATCTGGTGAGTGTGTAGTAACAAGGGGATCAGGAAGGACAATCCAGCTCCCTCCACAGTAGGTGGCCCTGCTGGTCAGTTTTCATCTTTACATGGCCGCAGAGAAGCAGCACTGGGCAGAGGTGTGTCTGTCTAACCCAAGTCATAGTCCCCTAGGTCTGCAAGATGAGAGGGGATGGTATGATAGCCCAGGGGCCAGTGATCAGTTTGACTTGCTGATAATCCTCAAACCCTCTAGACATCACAGTCTATTCTAGCAGTAAATGAGGTAGCTGCTGCCTGCCAGGTGATTTAAGTGAGCAATTAAAGTGATTTTCTTAACTCCTCCCTTCCCGGCAGCCTTTAACTTGCATCCAGCCAAATCTAAGATAGGCCTTGATTGCTCCCAGGGTTTTTTCACAGGGCTTTGCTAGTTTCTAGAATCTAAGTTTCTTCTAACTTTTAATCTCTCTGTGGTGATTTTGGGACATAGCCAGTTGCCCACCTGTCAGTTCCCTGAAAGTGTCTTGAAATGGCTACTCCATAATTCCCTCTAGTCTAGTCTGATCCTCCCCTCCCTATTGCTGCCACACCATTTTTGGGAGGCTTTTCACCTTCTCTTGCTGGAACATGCATTTCAATTTGACACATAACTGAAGAAGACCTACCAAGTGCCAGGTTCCATGTAGACGGCTGTGGGCAACATTATAGATGAAAATCCTCGCCCTCCATTTGATTAAATTCCATGATGGAGGCAGGGAAGTGATAAACAAAAGCAAGGTAAATAGGTAGAATGTTGAGCTTGCCCAGTGGTGATAAGGGTTAAGGAGAAAAATCAGCAGATGAGTGAATGGGGACTTTCAGGGCATAGCTTCAAATTTTAGAAAGCATGTCCAGCACAGCTCTCACCATGGAGATGTTTGAACAAAGACCTGCCAGGAATGCAGGAGAGCTGGGTGGGGAGGTATACTCCATAAAAGTGATGTAGGAAAGACGTTATTAGGGTTCGAAGCCCACAGCCAAGAAGGAATTCTTGAGATGTTTTTGGTGCAAAAAGCTGATTTCATTAAAGCACGGGAACATGACCCGTGGGCAGAAAGAGCTGTACTGGGGTCATGAGGAGTGCCCATTATGTACTTTCAAGTTGGGAGGGGGTTAGGGATAGTGTTAAGTCTCTAAGGAATTTTAGAAGCAAGGTTTCCAGGACCTTGAGGGGGCTAGCTGTTGTTGGGAAAAGGTCATTTATTACCATCTAATAAAACCTTAGTCATGAGACCCTTCAGATGTATATCGGTGGGCCATATGCTTGGGGGATGATTGCCAACACGTATCTTGGGGGTTTAGAGATAAAGGAAGTTTCCAAAGGAATTTTTATACATTAAAGTAGACTTACAGGATTGGGGGTTGGGCGAGGTCAGGCTAGGACTGCCTTTTGCCCTTAGCAAAGTATTAACATCGAGGCAGTTGAGTCCCTAAAGGAATGTCACTCTGCCTGTTTCAAGGACTTCTCAGTGGGCTATAGGTAGTAAGGAAATTTTAATTTTTCTTCTGCCTTTGTTTCCCACATCAAAAGGAAGAGCTTATAAAAGAGATGGGAAAGAAGCTGCCAGATCCCAGTACCATGTGTGCCCAGTGAGGCTCAAGCAGCACAAAGGGGCGAGAAGAGGAGCTGAAGGGGACAGGACGTGGGGCCAGGTCAATAGGGTCTCCGGGCTACTGTTACGAATCTGCCTGTTACTCTAAGTCAGTACTCCTCAGAACATGGTCAGAGGACACTGCCCATCTCCACTCTCCACAGCAAGGCTAGTACATAAATAGTAAATGATCATTTGGAAACCATTAGAGCAAGTTGACTGAGTTTAAATCTAATGACATCAAAAGGTCTTCCATTTTGTGTAATGGCTTTTTTTGTTAGTAAATGGCTAATTTGTTATATTTCTAGTAAGTCATTTTATTGCATCTTGTGAAAGTGTGTCCATTGATGTGGTTTTGGAATATAGGTGAGGTTCGGTGGGGTGAGGTCCAGAGCCGATGACTGAGAGAATTTCTGAGACATCTTTGGTACAAAATGGTTGTTTTATTAAAGCACGGGGACAGGACCCGTGGGCAGAAAGAGCTGCTGCACGAGGCCGTTGAGGAGTGGTGATTATATACTTGAAAAAGGGAGGTTTCAAAAGAACTTTCATATGCTAAAGAGGACTGACCTACAAGATACCAGAGGCCTTGCCATTGTCAAGTTAAGGTTGTTTTCCCCTCTAGCAATGTATTAACCTTGAGATAGTTGGGAGATCCCTGGAAGAATGTCACACATGTCCCATGGGTGGGGGGAGTCGGGGGAGGTTGCAGGGTGTCAGCTTGTGCTTCGTCTTCAGCTATTCTTCAGCTAGCCTTCTGCTCCCTTATCATCCATGACAGATGTGAAGGAATGAGGAGGGTGGAGATGGGCAGGTCCTTCACCAGAGGCAGTTGGGAAGCTCTGCCCTCAGTGACTGTAGGGTCCTCAGGGCGTTCCACAATGACAAGAGGAATGAGTCACACTTGGTTATAATATGGTCCCTCTAGTGGCTATTTTTGAGAATAGGCTGAAGGCTAGCTGGAGGAGAGGCCCGTCAGGAGTTAACGTCAATCATCCAAGATTGAGAGAGTGGGGACTGGGCTGAAAGTCCTGGCTGTAGAGCGGTGAAGGAGGTTTGATTCTGGACACAACTTGAAAGTAGAGGGAAGATGGGCAATGATTATGTTGCTGCACCAGTCCCTTGTCGAACACAATCCCTTTGTTCCCCAAATTCTTCCCTCATCTTCTATGGAATGGTCTCATTCCCCATGAGTCAGGAAATGGAAGTGCTGAGTTTCATAGAATCTCTTCCTGTTGCCTTTCTTCCTACTCAGTACAGGACAGTCCCCCACCAGCCAGATTTTCAAACCAGGAGCCTCACACCATTGTAACTTCACCTTCACACTGTCCTTACATTAAGTCTCTCAGATATGATGTACTTTCTCAACATAAAGATAAGCACCAATTTCTCTCTTCCCATTGAAATGATCTTTGTTCCAGTCCCTGTGGGCTCTTTGCTGGACTAGGAACCTCTCCTCTGGAGTCCTGGGGTATCCTCTGATTCACCAGCCTGGGATTGACACGGGAAGAGGGAACATTAGCCTGCTTCTCTGCCACACTTGCGATCCACAAATCTCAGGGAATTAGGAAGTACTAGCAAGTTTGTGTATGACTCACTTAAGACAAAACTTGGCCAGAATGTA